CAAAAAAAGCAAAAAAAAAAAAAAGTGGGGGGGGGGGGGGAACGCCACACACAACAGTTGCATGGCACTCTGCTGAGCTGGTGCAAGTCTGCTCTATTTTAGGGAATTTTCATCCTTGGCCCAATCACCATAATTTCTTCCAAGCGTAAAATCTCCAGTATTAGCGTGCACATAGCTCACTAATACATCTGCACACTAAAACTATTCCTGGTTTCTTGCTTTGTAAGTATAAAACATACTTTACATCAGATGCCTCTTTGGCATATACACTGTATTCTGTAAGTGCACTGTACAGCTTCTGGTCAAAAATGCTAAAGGACACACTACCAAATGTCTTTTTAAAAGCCATTTTAACAATGCTATTTTAGTCACATCATTCTTCTAGTTCCACTGGGTTTTGGGGGGAGGGGCAGGGGTTAAAACATCAATAGAGCACTGAAATACATCAATGCTGAAGCATGTTACACTTGTAAAAATCTAACAGGACAATGTATCTTCAATATATTCATAAAGCCGCAGCACATATTCATTAACAGGATTCTGATTAACAGAAATCAACTGTCTAACTTATATTTTATTTACCTTGAGGCCAACACTTTGCCAACAATTTTAAACTGCACTTGGAAGAACTACAAATTAAGAATCTTCCTTCGTGCCCAGCGTCCCACCTATAGGGTGGTCAGAGTTAGCAAGAAGATTGATACAAGAATCAGATGCGTTCTTCCCAGGAGCTCTAGACTATGCACTCATGTAAGTGGCGCTGCAATTGCCTTTTTCCCTAATTGCTACATAGTTCATCTTCATAAACTATTCTTCTATTTAAAGTAGGAATAATATTCCAGCACATGCTCAACAAAGGGAAAAAATGGGTTATTTTCAAAGCATATTTTAAATATAAGTTTAAGATTTAATGACAGCACCATTTTAAAGTAAAGCTTTTTGCCTTCAAGTCTAGCAATAGTAGGAAAGATGACCTTCAACAATGTGAATTACTTGTGAAATAGTGCTATACTATCTGTCCTAGTTTGGAGAGAGGGGAAAAAAAGCTATGAGAAAAGCAAATAGTTTAATAAAAGCATGAGGACAAATTAAAAGTCAGCATTGTCAAATATTTCAAATTGTTAAAAGGAGAGCAACAGAAGAAACTCAAGTAATTTGCAGAAGTTTCACCTTCCCCCATTCAAAAGTAGGGGAAAGAGATACAGTTCAATTTTAGTGATGAAAATTCAAAAACTAATTTCATGTCAAAGTGTTTAACCTCAAAGAATACTAATAATATTTCCTTAACTTTCAGAATTTACTCTTTTGAACATATTCATCTATAGACTTCAGTTTACCAACTGATAGATGCAAGCCAGTAGAACACCACAATACACATTATATCCACATCGTCACCAAATGCTTGGGGATGTTGCTCCCTTATTTGAACAGCAGAATGAAATTCAGCAACATGTCTGTTTGGGAGGAAAATCAGAACCAGTGGATTGTAGGACTTCTGGGCAGCTGTTCTTTCACAATTACCGTGAATCATTTCAACCATACACAAGTGAAGATCCTGGGAAGTCACCACGTTCTTCACACACTTCAAGGAGCAGTAGACCTTTAGCCAAAGCTACAGAGTATATACGGCATAGAGAGCATATCACATGAAAATGAAGTCTCCCTGCTTTACAGAAGGCATAAACATTACCACGCTCAGTTCATGAGATCAGTTGCATGCAGTGCACTGCAGTGTAGAAAGAGCAAGGTGAAAGAAAAGGATAGATAGATAAACAGAGAAGAGTAACATATTGAAGTAGACAATTATGATATTCCAAAACCAACGTAAAGAAACACCGTTATCATAGGAACCAAAACATAACCCCAGTTCAGTGACTGAAATACTGTGCTTGCACCTGGTCCAACCAACCAGAATTCTCACCTTCAGGTTAGAGTCTAGTACATGTACATTTATCACACCCGTAATTTGATCTGCTGTGAAACACTATCACATCACTGTCCTTCTCAGTCATGTTCTCAAAAGTTTGCTCCTAGAAAGTCCTTAATTGGAGCTGATTTCTGAAAGACTATCCAAAGTAAAATAGGTAGTTACCCACTGAAAAAACTATTTTTCTAACTAGTGTTTTGCATGAATCATGCCTTCCAGCCCACCAAGCCTAGCTTCCACCGTATGACACAGCTTTAGAAGAAAGAATATTTTTGAATGGTTGAGCAACTTATCCCTAAAATTTACATATATTTCTCATAAGGACTGTTGCAACATTAAAGTCTCCGACATAGCACTGCAACACAATAGAATCAAGTTTTTTTTTCTTGTAATCATAAAAGATGACTGAATAGAAAAAAAAATCATTAAAAAGCTCATCAGTACAGTAGTACTGTACTACCCATACTACACTACAGTCTTCATATTGTCTCCACTCTCAGCTCATGATTATCTTGGTCAGTCTCTCCATGTCCACCTATGGTTAAAAAAAGCCCTCCTCCTCTCACCTGTTCACATTCCAGCTTCTCAAGCTACTAATGCCTTATGCATGGGCTCTTCTGCTGCTGTACAAATAAATTAGTTTGACAAGGTTCCCAACATTCCCCTTGCACGACCTCAGAAGCTTCTCACTAGATGTGGGGACTTGAAAATGTCCTCCCCGAGAGAGAAAATAGACTACAATACAGTAAATTCTCTCCAGTTCTGGGATATTTCCTTACATTTTGTATTTGAGAAAAATTCATTACTGATTAAAACTACTTATCTGTGAAACCCAGAATGAGTCTGAAAACTGATAACTATTTTTCTAATAGGAATATTGCAACTTCTACACATTAATTGCCCTACCTTTTTTATGAGTTAGTCAGTCTCCTAGCACTATGTAGCAGGAATAACACTACCATTTACAAAGCACAGCCAGCATTTCTAGCACTTTTAATTTATTTTTTTTTCTCTGAAATAAATTAGAAAATTCACACGGTAGCCAAACGCAGCCAGCTGCTCCTGCAATGTCTTCCTTAATGAGACCACTAGGATACAGTGTCAATAGTGGCAAGCAGAAGAGAAAGGGATTTGCTAGTCCTTATCAAACCAGTATATAACCCCTAGCCTTTCAGCAACCAGTTCCAAAAGAAAAAGAAAATAGAATCTTACAGGAAGCCATAATTAAAAGATCTGCCTGTTAGGGAATGTACCTCCCAACTTCCACCCAGCTAAAGGCTGTCTGAAGTGCTGAACCACTGTCCCTTCAAACACCCACAGTAAGAGCAGTACTTCACCCTTATCAGTTTCTGCCAAATTCCTGCCAAACCTCTTATTTTGGAGAGAATTCATATGGACTGAAGTAATAACCAGGTTTCAGAAGTGATCCATTATGCAAAGTCCAAATATTCAACATACAGAAGTAAAATAATGACAACTACGCAGTGGGTTACTTTTGACTCTGTGAAGTCTACTTTCCAAGGTCTCCTCAACTACATATTCATCTGATGCTGCCAAACTGCTGCTAAATTGCTATTCTAGTAATACAGCACTCCAGTAAACCATTGCATATCTTGGCAAATCAAAAAACTGTATGTTTTCAAATAGCGAACATTCAGTAACAACACTGAGACTAGGACAACACTAGGACGCAACACCGTTCATAGATTTTGCTAGACTAGGGAGTTTCAGAGAACTCAGACACTCTGTTTATTAACGGAAATCAACAAAATAAAAGTGGACATCCTCATGCTACCAATTCTACTATCAGATCTTACTCACCTAACATCTCTGAAGAGATTCTGAATTTGTGATATTGCAGACTGACTGATTAACGTGCCTAGTGTAAAAGCCATTAAGGCTTACCATTAACACTTTTTGGTGACAATCACTAACAAGCAAATATTTAGAAATTCTGAAAACCTCTTATGTCTCTTACGTTCTTTACAACATAAAAAACAGCATTTTAAGTTACTTTAAATGACTAATAAAGTAGCTTTTTGAATATTTCTAGTAATGACCATTAAAGCTGGCCAGAGTTAAAAAGCACGTAACGTGTGAAGAACTCCAGTAGAATTCAGATGCGCAGCCCCCGGAATTCAAATAAGAAAGATCCCGCCAGTTCAGGCACCTGAAAACAAGCGCTTATCTTTCACTAATAATATTTTCTTACCATGCTCTTATGTTTGCCTACAGGTACCACTATCATAGCTACACTGAGTATCTAAGCCCAAATAGGATCCATAAAATGGAAACCCCCATATTTTAGTCACCTGATTCTTCTGATGTTTAAGCTCTGATACCGTTAAACAAGGTAAAAACTTCTATCAACAGCAAAAAATTTCAGAAACAAATGTCACTAACACGATTGGTTTTATCACATACACAGCCAAAAGAAATACTTCCCATCTTTTATATAACAGTTCAAAAAACAGATTTAGAAGACTTAGGTTGTAGGCCTTTCTTTGCTTTGGGATGTTCAAAATTCCATTTCTCACATCTCCAGAAACACTGCACAGACCTCTATATTACGTGCAAAGCTGGAATGGTGCCGTTCCCCACCTTCCGTGTGAAAGATGTGCTACGACACAGAAGAACATGCAAGTTGAACTGGACAGACAGAAATGAGAAACTGGCTAGACAAAGACTGAACAAGGCTAGACAAAAATAAGCCAGAAGCACGGCTAACCTAATGATAAAGGTGTCCACCTTCAAGAAGAGTATCTTCCTGGGTCCCAGTCCACACTCCTAAAAATTGTTTCTATTTATGCATTTTTCCATTAAGAGATTGCTGTATAAAATCCAGAAACTGCTTGCTTCCATATTCAAACATGACTGGTTAGATATTAAAAATTATTGTAGGCATCAGAAGAAGAAAGTCATGCACAGAAGTCAGAAACCACAGAAAAAGAGTGCAACAAGATTTTCCTTTTACTTTTAAATGCTTTCATTCCCATAAGCAAAATTGCAACTTAAACTCCACATACCTCATAGTCATCGATAAAACTACACACTCACGCTATTTGAAGTTTGAGAATGACATCTCACCAAGATGTGACAGTAATAACAGAAAAAATGAGGGCTATTTTGCTAACACAATGAATGGAGAATTTAGCACAATTCCTGCTTATAAGAAAGAATGTTTGGAAATTAAGGTATTGTAGTGAAAATGGAAAAACACCAGAAAAAAATTAACTTTCTGTACAGATGTCTCAAAAGAAGTCATCTACTTCATTTCCTTAAAAGCTGTAAAGCAATATTCAAATAAATACTAACAATAAAAGTTATGTTTCAATTAATAGAAAATTTAACTTTACCTTCAGACTCTTTAAGTAGTTGGACAACATACTTGGGTGAAAGCGGTTTTCTTCAGCAACCTGTTCATCATATCTTGGTCCTAACATTGTCTTCAAAGGTAAAAACTTTCCTATGAAACATAATCAAATTTGCAGTATTTTATGTACACTTAGGTAAAATGTACACTAACAACTTAGTGATTTCTAAGCAATATGCTGAGCAGTTTTAGAGGTTCATCTTCAATGGAAAAGAATTGCAGGAAAAGTATCAATAACAGTTTAATTGGAATTATTAGTTCCAAGTTCTCAGAATTTGCAAATAAATTCAGAAGTTTAAAGGAAATACATATTATCTCATCTAAAACAGATGCAGCAATATTTTAAAATATTCACCTAGCTTTTAGTCTGCCTTAAGCTGTGGAACTACAGCACATTAACAGAACAGACAAAAATTTTAACTCAGTGGTTAAAAGCATAAAAACAGAATTTAAAATAACAGTTTGTCTACCCAACCTTGTAAACCTCAGATTTGATTACTCGTAAGCCTAAAATGCAGTAAAGATAGCTGTAACACTGCTGCATTGTTTCCAGAACACCTATGCACTGCAGGCACACTCT